GGGCCCGTCTAGCCTCTACCAATGCGTCCTTGGCTTCTAGGTAATCGTCTAGGCGGCTTACTCGGCCCTCTTCCTCGGTCGTCAAACCAAAGAATGTGTCTGCCGGCGTCACAGCAAAGTACCGGCGGAGATATTCCAAATCGCCCCTGCTGAAGGGGATTTTAGCCTCTAATCCGCCGAGGTTGGGCTGGTAACTTGGCAGGCCTCTTGCTCTGGACTCACTGTTCGCCTGGTATACGGCCTTAATGGCCGAGTCAGAACCGCTGGTGATGAGGAGGGCTTCTGCCTTTGTGTTCTTGAGGGCCAATTCTACGATTTCTCGGCTCTCAGGGGTCATGCCGTACAGATTCGTGGCCGAATGGTCCTTATGGAATTCTCTGAGGAAGGACAGACCGCTGGTCGAAAAAGGGGGATCCCTCCCGTGGTAGATGTCGACGACACATTCGTCTGTTCTTTCCATGACCGCGGCCTTTGGCTGAGCTGAATTGGCCGACGAACCACGGGGACTTTCGTCTTGCTTAGGGCGCCACGCCCTCAGAGGCTTGGTGCTGGCTGCCACTTTCTTTTGGCGTTTGAAGTCCTCGACCTCGGTTGTCTGCATCCTCGACCTCGGTCCTCTGCATTCTTCTCAGCTGGGTTTTCGTCAGTGGTTCGGCCCTGCCCCCAGGCCGGGCATGGTACCAACGGTCATCCTTTATGACTGGTGGTTTGAAAGTTTTTATCGACCTTGGGGTGGCCTCTTCTTCGTGGCTGGCCGAGGCGCTTGGGTTTTGTGGCCCTAGTCGGCTGAAAACAGCTCTGCTGGTCGGCCGTCGACCGTACTGACCACTGAATCTTTTCACGGTCGTTCGAGATGGCTCGGCGGCCTTCCTCTTGTTCTCCTGCGGCCTGGGCTGACCGATCTTACACTTGCATCGTTCGCAAAGGGCCGGCTCAAGTTCGGCCAAAGGCTCCTTTCCTTTCTCCGAACCGCGAACTCCTCTATCCTCGGCCGGGAGTTGGGCGTCGACCATGTTAACGAT